AATTTCCACTTTTTTTTTTTTTTGCTCATTTCTGCTTCTTTAAACTCAATTGGGCACAACTGTGCTCTCTCTGCTTTCTTATGGTAATTTAATCTTTTTTCTGCTTTTTTTTCTATTTTTCCTTTTTTTTTTTTTTTCAAATTTCTTCTTTTATTTTTCAGTTTATTTCCCCTTTTTGTGCACATTCCTTGGGCACTATTGCACTCTCTCCGATTAATTCTCGTAACTGAAGGTTTGTTCTGCCATTTCAGGTACTTTTCAGCCATTTCTTGATCATTTCGCCCCCCCCCCCCCCCTTTTTTTAAGCAAATTTACAAAATTTTGTGCTTAGTTTTGTTTATTTAAACCAAATTCAGCAAATGTGTGTTCTTTCTTTCTTCGGCTAACGTAAGCTTTCAGCAGTTCTTCAGCAAGTTCTTCAGCAATAAGCCTCACACGGCATTTTCACAGGAAATGCAATTTCTCTTTGTTTGTTTTTTCAAGTTGGCTTCTTTTTCCACTCATTTCCGTTTAGTTCCTTGCTCTTTCCTTATGGTCTCTTACAGATCTTCAACTGGTCGAAGAAGTCTCCAGAATGTCTCGCCATTTTCTCGTGGATTCTCAAACTTTTGGTGCGAGTCACAGAAAACAGGCTGTGTCACTTGACTTTTGGACTTGGGGGAAAAAGTGCAACAGTTTTTCTCAAAATGTGCTCAAACCAAATCTAAACTTTGTTTCCAAGCTATCGGTGTTGGAGCCGTGTGACACAAGACGAGAGCGCTCTGGCAGAAAACGGTGGAGGCCGAAGTCCAGGTCTCAAAACTGACCCAGATCTGCCTACGGTTTATTTCATCTCTAGCAGAATAAATTATAAACGTGGGGGCGGCTGTCAAAGGGAGTACAAAGCCAGCTGAGATATGACGTGGGCGAAGATGGGCAACAAAACATTGTGCACAATCTGCAATCCATGCACATAAAAAAAAGCCCCCAATTTTTAACATTCGTCTTAAAATGCAGCGTGATCATTTGATTGGAAAGACTCTGAATTTAGTGAGACCACAACAGAAAATCTGCTTATTTGACAATTTTCAATTGTCGACTAGTCTGAAACAGTCCCAGAGATCCCACCTTAAAGTCAAAGATAAACCAGTGCTGTGCCAACTAATAACAGACAGCGTAGCAAAGAACCTGTTTTAAGTGGGATTTTTAGACTCTGTCACCAGCAGCCGTCACAAAGACACAACTTGTACTTGTTATTTTAACCAAATCTATGAAAAATGCACAGATTTGGACCAAAAAACAAAAAGAGATTAGCTGAAAACTTGTACAATAAATGATCCAACGAATGACGGTGAACTCAGGTGTTTGCTGGACTGTAACTTTCTTTGAGACATGTTCAACATTTTGGCTGCTCCCTTCTTCAGGGGTCGCCATAGTGAACGCACTTTGCACAAAAATATTTTTTTATAATTGCTTTCCTCTGGACGCTCTCCCTGACGCAACCTGGGCTCGAACCTGCAGCCTCAGGAATACAGGGCTGAGGTGCTGACCCCCAAGACGGTTTTATTTAAGCTCACAATGCACAATATGTGATAGTTGGGTACAAGGAATTCACTGAAAGGGAGTTAAAAGCAGCAAAATCTATATTCAAATATTTCAGAAAACCTGCACAACTACTTATCAATACTACTTTAAAGATTTGCAAGAAAATCTGGCACCTCAGAGGAAATTTAGAAAGAAATTAGGTGTAATATAAAACTTTTGCACAGCACTGTAAATCTAAATTTAAAAATAAAAGCAGGGGAAACTTTTGGACGTGGCACCAGTGATGTGAATCAGGTCAGTTCTAGCAAACTGGAGTGAAGTGCTGCAGTGCAGTGGATCCTGGCAGAGAAGTAACTCGGCCTGCCCTGTCAGAACTACAACAAGCCGAGCTGGTAGGGGGGAGGAAGGAGGTGGGGTGGGGGGACTGTAGGGCCAAGGTGCAGGATGGAGCTCAGAGCTGAAGAAAGATTACTGCTACAGTTAGATCTCAAAGCCTAAAGCAGTCAAGCATTAGAGCGTCTCAGACTCGACTCCCCGTCTCCCCTCCCAAAGACTGAGCAATTATTCAGGAGTTGGGGGGGGTGATAGTGGGAGGGGTGGACGGGGGGTCCTTCAGGTAGAAGCAGACAGGTACACAAAGGCATGCCAGAACTCTTACTTAAATCCCCATCCTGTTCCCCCTAGGACTATAGCTGCCAGGAGAATAGCACCTGCGATGGACCCTATAATGATATTGGTGCCACTGGGACCTGCGCAGAGGAAGGAGGGGAGGAGGAAGGGTGCGGAGGAGGAGGAGGAGGAGGAGGGGCAGAAACAAAAACAACACCACTAAAAAACACACGTCAGGAGACAGCATCAGCACGTCAACAACATCAAGTAGAGAAGGAAAGAGGCAGATGGGAAGATACCTGCAGACAGAGATGAAGATGGGGGGGAGGAGGAAACCATCAAGTTGGGTGGAGATGGAAGAACAGGCGTGTGATTGGGGAGGCCGGGGGGGGGACAACAGTTACATTAAAAACAAAGGAGAGAGAGTTGCATTACTTTGTTCTCATTCCCCCTCTCCTGCTCTTTCAGCCGGACACCCTCGTGCTCAGGGTGGTTTTTTGACCCTAAAACAGCAGCTGCTTAATTGCTCTGTGTGTCAATGGCAGACTGCAAGAAAGTAAAGAAGGCACTTAAAAAAATGCAGCGCCTGGAAGACATTCAGTAACACCACACACACACATTTAACGCACGTATGCTCTCATGGATAAATCTGTCTCAAGCACTCTTGGGCACCGAGCCGCTGCAGGAGGGAAAGCAGTGTGGCTTACAGGCGCTGGTCATAAAGTTAAGAATATCATGAAAAAGTTGATTTATTTCAGGAATTCCATTCAAAAAGTGAAACATATATATTATATTCATCCATTACACACAGACTGATGTATTTCAAATGTTTATTTTCTTTTAATGTTGATTATTATAACTGACAACTAATGAAAACCCCAAATTCAGTATCTCAGAAAATTAGAACATCATTTAAGACCAATTAAAAAAAAAAAAACAGGATTTTTAGAAATGTTCGCCAACTGAAAAGTATGAACATGAAAAGTATGAGCATGTACAGCATCAATACTTAGTTGTTGCTCCTTGTGCCTGGATTACTGCAGCAATGCAGCGTGGCATGGGGTCCATCAGTCTGTGGCTCTGCTCAGGTGTTATGAGAGCCCAGGTTGTTCTGATCGTGGCCTTCAGCTCTTCTGAATTGTTGGGTCTGGTGTATCACATCTTCCTCTTCACAATACACCATAGATTTTCTATGGTGTTAAGGTCAGGAAAGTTTGCTGGCCAATTAAGAACAGGGTCCTTAAACCAGGTTCTGGTAACTTTGGCACTGTGTGCAGGTGCCAAGTCCTGTTGGGAAATGAAATGTGCATCTCCATAAAGTTGGTCAGCAGCAGGAAACATGAAGTCTCTAAAACTTCCTGGTAGATGCTGCGTTGACCTTAGACCTCAGAAAACACAGTGAACCAACACCAGCCGATGACATGGCACCCCCAAACCGTCACTAACTGGAAACTTGACACTGGACCTCAGGCAACGTGGATTCTGTGTCTTCTCTCTTCCTCCAGACTCTGGGACCTTGATTTCCAAAGGAAATGCTAAATTTACTTTCATCAGAGAACATAACTTTGGACCACTCAGCAGCAGCCCCAGGCGAGACGCTTCTGACACTGTCGCTTGTTCAAGAGTGGCTTGATACAAGGAATGTGACAGCTAAACCCCTTGTCTTGCATACGTCTGTGCGTGGTGGTTCTTGAAGCACTGACTCCAGCTGCAGTCCACTCTTTGTGAATCTCCCCCACATTTTGGAATGGGTTTTGTTTCACCATCCTCTCCAGGGTGTGGTTATCCCTATTGCTTGTACACTTTTTTCTACCACATCGTTTCCTTCCCTCCACCTCTCTATTAATGTGCTTGGACACAGAGCTCTGTGAACAGCCAGCTTCTTTAGCAATGACCTTTTGTGTCTTGCCCTACTTGTGCAAGGTGTCAATGGTCGTCTTTTGGACAACTGTCAAGTCAGCAGTCTTCCCCATGATTGTGTAGCTACAGAACTAGACCGAGACCATTTAAAGGTCTTTGCAGGTGTTTTACCATACCATTTTATACCACTTTATTTATAGAGCACTTAAAACATCGACCAGGCCAACCAAAGTGCTGTACAGACAGAACAACAGGTAACACACAAAGCAAAATACAAAATGAGGTAAATCAGAATATATACATAAAAACGATGCAGATAATAAATATGACGACAAACCAGTGTGGAGCATACAGGATCAAAACACAGATCATCTGGTGTTGAAAGCTACTGAATAGTAGTGGGTTTTTAAACGGGACTTGAAAACCGAGAGGGAGGGGGCCTGTCTGACAAGCAGAGGTAACTCGTTCCAAAGTCTTGGTCCTGCTACAGAGAAGGCCCTGTCACCTCTGCGCTTAAGACGAGTTCCTGGAACTGTGAGGAGCAACTGGTCCGCTGACCTCAGGGA